TAAAGCCTAAATATTCTTTGAACAGTTGTGGACATGTGGACGTGGACATGGGCAAAAAAGTCTTGGACATAGTAGACGTGACAACACTGCTTTAAACTGCATAACGATAAATAATGTAAAATTAAATTGATTTAAACAGCCAATCATACGAATGTCTGCCTATGACCCTCGGGTGGGCACGTACTTTAACAGGGTACGCCGAAATCTGTTATTTAACTTACGTATTCACGTATATCGTACACGTATTAAATATTCTAGAATATGCTATTTTTACATTTGCTCTTTCTAGAAAGTTAACTGTTTAATAATCCTGTGATCGCTAAAATATAAATACATACGTACGAAAGGCGTTAGATGACCTAAATTTTTGAGAAATCTACTTGGAAATAAGAAAAAAAAAAAAATGTCTTTTTCTTATGCAAGAACGCTAGTGTCCGGGTCCGTTATTGCCGATTTAGAGGGTGATAAGCTTATTCTTCCGCCTTTCGTGCTCGAGGAACTCCTTCGTACGGCCAGTCAATCCGTACCTGGTGATTTCTCTGATGCACAACTTCCTTATCCCATAACATTTCAGATTACTAATCCAAAAACACGCGTAATAACTCATGGAGGCGTTCTCGAATTTAACGCAAAGGATGAAAAAGCTTACTTACCAAAATGGATGCATGATTCATTATCACTTACAAATGGTTCGGAAGTTACGATCAGATTGAAGGAATTACCTAAGGGTACCTGGGCACGATTTCGTCCAATGAATGTAAATTACAAAGAAATACCTGATTACAGGTAAGCTTAACACTATATTTCTCATATTACCTTAATATTTTATTTCCGTACCAATTTTCTTTTCCTTTTCAAGAGCTGCATTTGAAGGATATTTGAGATCTCATTATACGACCTTGACCGAAGGTGAAATCTTAACTATAAGGCAAGCTGACTCTTCATATCAATTTTTGGTGGAATCTCTTAAACCCTCCAATGCTGTTCGGATCGTAGACACTGACTTAGAATTAGAGATAGAACCACTTGATGTAGGCCATAATGCCTTTAAAACATTCAAAGGAGATACTGAAAACGACATACATGTTGGAAAAACAGTAAATGGAAAAGTTAGCAAGAATGCTTATGCATATTGGAATGTATTAGAAGTTGACAAACTACATGGACTAAATATCGAGTTGCGGATTCATTCTGGTGACGCAGGTAATAATTATTACTATTTGATTAATATCTATCAAGATTGGTGTGTCATTTTTTATTTATTATAATTTTCTTACAGATATTGGCTTATCGTCCATTAAATCAAATGACTTCAGATCTTATCGTGTCCACCGTTCGTAATCCTACAACTGACGCACACCTTTGGTCAAATTTTGAAACTGCATCAACGAAAAATATATTCATCCCAGCTTCAAATTCAGAATACGCTACTAGTAACGAGCTTGCTATCGGTGTTCACGGATTTAGCGATGAACCTGTATCATACGAATTGGAAATCACATCTGATCAACCATCAAAATCCCATGATTCAGAAATTACAATAACGAGCGACGCAAACGAAAATTCACCTGGGTATGCTAAATGCGACAATTGTGGGAGTTGGATACCTGAACGCACCATTGCTCTTCATTCAAATTTTTGTCTGAGGAACAACATTAAATGTGAATTATGTGGAAAAGTAATGTTAAAGGGCGAAGAACAAAAACACTGGCATTGTGCATATTGTAATAAGGTAAATTGTTGTTATTTGGGGAACATTTTCTAGAAATATATATTAATTTTGTATATTACTCTAGTTTGGAGACCATCTGGAAAAAGAAAAACACATTTTCATATTTCATACTAGCCGTCAATGTTCCTGCGGATTTGAGGCCGAATCGCTTCCAGAGTTAGCTCAACACAAGCGCACAACATGTCCCGAAAAATTAATCACATGTAGATTCTGTTTTAACCTTGTTAAACAAGGTAACCCATCAACCAATCAACATGATTTGCTTGAAGGATTAACTGCACATGAATCTTATTGCGGTGGTCGTACTACTACTTGTGTAAAATGCCACCAACCAGTTATCTTAAAAAATATTGCGGCTCATAATATGATGCACGAGATCGAAAAACAAAATAGAAAATTACCACCGCTTTGTAGGAATAAAAATTGTGTGAGAACTGCAGCAGATAATGTGCTTAAATTATGTGCAATATGTTTCGGTCCATTCTGGTCGCCAACGGCAGACCCAGAAAAGAAAATGTTGTACACAAGAGTTGCTAGGAAGTATCATTCACAACTGACAACTGGATGCGGACAAAGTTGGTGCAAAAATTTGGTAAGATGATTACATAATTTACACTAGATCAATTAGTTAGTTTTCATAAGGATAGTTCTTGTTGGTAAGGGTTTGCATGAGATATTGTTGCAAATTCTTATTTGAGAAATTTTACCTGCCCACTCCTATTGTTCCATTGGGAGTATTCCTATTAACTAATATTATGTATTTTAAAAATTTAGTATTGTGCTACAGGAAATTCATCACCACAAGATCCCACTACTGCAGCATTGTCTCTAACTCCTCTTTTAAAACAACTCCAGTCATCCACTACGGCTTTTATGTATCTTTGTGTAGACGAGCCGACAACAAAAAAACGCACACTTGCAAATATACTATATAAAGGTGAAGATGGTGGAGGCTTCGAAGGAGAGTATGCGGACGAATTTTGTGTCTATTCATTAGAAGTTGAAAATGGTGACCTTTCGGCAGCGCGAAAGTGGTTAATAGATAATGCCCCAAATGTAAAACGGGTACCTTAGTAATAAATAAATCTAGCTAATATTGGCAAATTAAACTTGTAATGCACAAATACTTATCTATATATGATGGATAAGTATTGTTTGTATTTTCTTTAAATAAAGGTCTGCATAAAATGTTAATTACGTAGCTTAGATTAAATCAAAGATAATGTGTACATTAGAAGTAAATGGTCCTCATAGCCCGGCCGGGTTAAATTCTATAAAATTATAAAAATTTTGACTACATTTACTATCCGAATGGCTCTTTTTAGATGTCTTCTTTTATATATAGTCACCCTGATATAGTCACAATGTGGTTATAATCACATTATTATTAGGTTCCAACTTACTATATATATATATATATATATAATATAAAATATAACCTCTTTATAAGCACAATCTTATTATAATCACATTTTCAGGTCTGAAGGTGTGATTATAACGAGGGTTGAGTGTAAATCTTTCAAAAATGAATTCTGGTAGAATTTGCTGTCTTTGTCAGTTTACACCAATTAAAGCCAGATTGCCATAAAAGGCGAAATAAGTAAATCTGCTACAAAAATTTGATATCGAAAAAGTACAAAAAAAAAATTCAATTCGAATTCCGCATCGGGGAATCGAACCCCGGCCGTCGCGGTGAAAGCGCGAAATCCTAGCCACTAGACCAATGCGGATTGATTATTAATAGCGAAGTAAAATGTATACATAAGTAAATTATCAATTATCCAATTTGGAAGTACAAATAAGTAACCAATAGGATACTATACATTACCGTGCAAATTATCCGGGTATTTTACATAGCAATGTATTATGTGGAAGATTATATTAGCTCATTAGAAAAAAAAAATATTAAGTTGGTTATTGACGTTTAATGATCTTAAAACGTACCGGGTACAAATCATGAGAAACATAAATCAAGACGGACGGATCTCGTCAAATGTTTTTAAAAAATGTAATTTTCGTAATAGATTTATATATATATATACTTATTAATACTGTATGCTTTTGTTTTAAATTATTTTTTGTTACTACAGTATGTAGTGTATACAGTATAATCTTTATCAAGTTAATATTATAATGCTTTAAATATTACGTATTTTAACAAAATGATATGAAATTTAAAAATACTACCCACTTTTATGTTTTTTCTTATAAACCTTATTAATAAAATTTTTTAAATAGTTGTACGGCCAACGGTTCATATTTTATGATAAAATTCATAAAGACCAATATTATAACTTTACAAGCAAAATTATAGATACATTTTTTTTATTTAAACGCGAAAAGAATTTAATATTATATTTTTTCCTTGAAAAAAGTGATTAGTTTCTTTTTTAAAGAAATAGCTCTATATTTTAAGGGATTAGTTTCTTTTTAAAGAATAGCTTTATAATTTTGTTTGTAAGGATACCTACTGGTCTTTATTCGAAAATTTCGAACAGCTAGGGCTGTGCATCTATTAGGGATTGTTATAAAAAATTTTAATAAATGGTTACATATAACTATTAGAGATTTTGCACACGCAAGAGACGCTGATATCATCTTCGCGCAAATTAATCATGTATCTCGCGCGAAATGATATGCACGAAATATATGCTAGATTTACCACGCGAATGGCACACCTTTATGGCATAATTATCGGCATATCTAATTTAACGGGAACACTACAAATCAGATTGTTATATAACATAATCCCATAATCATTAATACAGTTTTAGTTAGGAATGGATTAATTATATTAGCGATTCTATTCTATCTTCTACATTCACTATAATTTATAAACATTATTATTCCCAAAATTAATTATAAATCTTTACTTTGAAAAAATCTTTTAAATCTACACTTATGCTCGTAATTACATATGAATGATGTTTTAAATTATTCTAGAAATTATGAATCTTGTCGGCTTTGATTTTCAAAAGCGAAGTTCTTATATATAACCAAATTTCTATAAAGTTTTTATTAAAAAGTTCATATTCATTTTTAAAAAATTAATCTTTTTTTGTGCTTACAAATGATAAATTACAATTCCTCATGTCCATGATCAATACTATGATTATCATGCTCGAGACAAAGAGCTGGAGTAGTCATTCTCATATGATATTCGCATTTTGCAGGTTCAGATACTGACAGAATTTTATTTTCTGCTCCACATTCAAGATATAACTGCAATATTTTTTTGGGTTTGATATTAAAAATAATGAACAGAAATTCATTTTTGCCGTTTTTCTCAATAAAAAAAATACTTAACCTTAATGGATCGTGCTGGACCATTCCAACATCTAGCTCCATTGTCATAAAGCATTCGAGCATAATATCGTGGGTCATCATTCGATTCGGCTCCAATCCACTTTGCAAAATTACTATATTTGAAGGAAGAAAAATATTATGATATTGAAAAAATTTAAATAAATTATTTTAAAAAGTATGTACCCTAAATCTGTTGATGTATGATCTTTGTTACTCTTTTGTGTTGCACTACCGAACATACATAAACTGTATGTATATCTAAAATATAAATAATTTAAATTGAGTTAGCTACCAGTGTACATATTGGAAAACGTGTATATACTAATATATATTAGAAAAAAAAAAACGTACTCTCCAGAATCATAATTAAAGCATTCATTATCCAATGTAGCAAATTCGTATTCCAATCCATAATCTTGTGATAATTGAAATTTTATTTCATCAATATGACTCTCTATATCTTTTTGTTCTTGTTCAGCTTCTTCGAATGCATCACGAACAGCTGATAATTTTAGTTTGTGCCAAAAAATATAGAAGGGTTAGAAAGATTTTTTAATTATGTCGAACAAACACCATACTTATGCAACGCTGGTCGTTATGCGGATTACCTTTTGAAGTTCCTTTTGAAGTGCTATGCGAACTAGATGAACTATAATGACGATTGCTTTTATAATCTTGTAATCCAAATAACTCCAGCACACCTTCTTTAATTCCCCATAACATCTCTAAGAATCGTCCCTGATATGAAGGTTCTATTTAGTAAAATTAAATTCAATAAGAGAACGTATTATTATCATTACTATTTGTTTCTTTTCTTATTTTTATTTTCCTTGCATAGCTAGCTAATCTAATCGTGTATATTGAAAATACTCGCCACTAGGTTCCTGGATTTGTGGTTTTTCTTTTTCATATGGTATTTCATCATAATTGTCATCATTATCTTCTTCAATTTCGACCCCGTCTTCAGTTTCCGTATCTTTATTATATTCTTCCAAAAATTCATCATAGGCTTTAATTGCAGTTTTAACGGCCATATCATGATAGTTTTGATTATGATTATTTTTCATATCCTTGAGAATTGAAAGTAACGCATCAATTTGTTCATGAAGTCTATTTATATTTTCTTTCAATGCAGAAACACGCCCTTGATATTTCTTTATGCGTTCTCGATTGCCTATCAACGCATAACACATTGATAGAGTTAATATTAGTAAAATGAATTCAAATATTAACAGTAAATAAAAGAATAAATCATGAAGAAACCTTTGGGCCTTAATTGCTCCGTATCCGTTTTGTCATTTTCAACCTTTTTCAAAGCGGCTAATCGCCAACGAAAAAAAAATATAAAAAACATTTGAATAGATTGATCGTACCTAAATTATAATTTTATGAATAAAAATTTACCTTCGCGTTCTTTAACTCTTTTTTTTGCAGCCTCAAGTTCAATTTCTAGTCGATTTAATTCAGCTTCATTTTTTATCTTTAATTTTCGACCATCTTCTATATATTTCTTTCTTATTCGTATACCCTATTTATAGAAAGTGAATGAGGTTTAAAAATTAAAATAAAATATAAACAAATTTTAGCTAACTTATAACATACCTGAGTTCGTAATTTTTCCAATTCCTCTAACTTTTTACGATATACTGCATTAGTTTCCTTACATATATTAGGGCACTTTATTTTTCCATCGTATTCATCCGAACCATCGCAGCATTCTGGCTCTTTATACAAAAATAAAATAGAAATTAATAATATGCTTAAAAAGAAAATAAATAAAATTTCGATATTCACCACAAACGCCATCATTGACACGGCTAGACAATATATAAGATGGAATGTGCCCTACATTTTTACAATAGAATTTACCATTAGGGCATGCCGATGTACCTAAACATTGAACCAAAGTTAGTTGTCAAGACAAATCGTTAGAATGAGTAAGTATATTTATAAATTCTCAAAAAATAAACATTACCCGGTTCATCTGATCCATCGGCACAATCGCAGAAATCATCATTAATAGCTTCGTATGGTATGATAGAAGATCCATCTAAACAAGTCCAATTTGAACCTTTAGCCTCGTAAAGATGCGCCTCTAATTAAAAGATCATAAGTATGTAAAAATTATAAAATGGAAAATTTAGTTAAATTAAAATATATTTATTTATATATAAAATTCACTTACTGGACTTCTCAACGCCTAGAAGCTTCGAGAGGTTGCCTACTCTAGCGTATACGTATAATGTAAAAAAACTTAAGATAACCAACTCTAGTATTAGTCTATAAATTGTTGAAGAACGCCTAATTGGATCGATTAAAGAAAGAATATGTGCCATAATATCGATATGTAATCAAGAAGAAAATCGGCTGATCCGGTTTGGCACTTGTTAATAGAAAGCATCATTCTTATTATGTCGTTATTTGAAAATCCACACATATTATATGCATGTCAGTTTTTGATTGGGTAAAAATCTTATTATACATAATAGCAATCTTATCAGTAATTGCCCATCTAAAATGAGACCTAACTTTAGCTTCGTTAAATAGAACTTCGTCCCTCAAGTTACATTCTAACGCTTATCGAAACTAGTAAGGCTTTGAAGGGTCAATTTAGATATAAAATAAATGTCAAGGCCTTTATTGCCATTAATATAATAAATAACCAAGATGCAAAAAAGACAGAGTAACGGTAGCCAAAAAAAATAACAATACTTTATATACATACTATATATATAATATATATATATATAGGTCGTATCATTAACGGTGATACAAGCTATACTAATATAATAAATTAAAAAAGTTTATAATTAATAAATTTTTAATTAATATTAGC